CAAAAAAGGGGGGCACTTGCACAGACTAATGATAGCATGTCATGACCTAGGGAGAATGGATCTCTTATTCTGTATCCAGAGAAGGAAGACAAAATTCACTCTGTTAATCCAGGTTCAACACTCCTCTTTGTTTCACTCTGTTAGTTATTTTGGTAAACCATTTATTTCCCCAAGACAATGCATAGTGAACTTCAGCAAATTATACAGTGAATTTGCTCTAATACGGAGTGAATGGCCTATGGCCTCCTTATCTAAAATACCCGCATTCAATATCCATCTCCATCTGCTTATCTGTTTCATTTTGTTCACCAAATGTAGCCCAGCCTGCTATTATACCACACATTGTTTACTGAGGATCCATCTTTCCAGTTATTGCCCAAGTCCACAAAGGCAGAAATTTGTTTGGTCTGTTACTTTGTCTCCAACAGGCAAACGGAGCTTTTTACAGATCGGGAACTAGTGAATATGATGATTTCTAAAGAAAAACTCTTCTGCTCTCTCCCCCTACCCTCCAGATTTCAGTATAAGGCTGCCGTGCTGCCCATGGATTTGGGAAGGAGAGGACCACATCAAAGTCCATAAGGTTGACAGGCTGTCCCTCACAGCAGTTAATTGTCTCCACACAGATGAAACAAAGACTTACTGTATTCTCATGATCTGGGTTATGAAATCAGAGCATGCTGAATAGTAAAACATCTTGTATAAACTGGGCCTGACTCAATGGAAAGAATCAACAGGACCAGCAGTGTCTCTGAGTTCATCCTCCTAGGACTGTCCTCCCGACCTGAGGACCAAAAGCCACTCTTTGTCCTCTTCCTCACTGTGTACCTGATCACCATAACAGGGAACGTGCTCATCATCCTGGCCATCCGCACCAACCCCCCACTCCAGACCCCCATGTACTTCTTCTTGAGTTTCCTGTCTTTCACTGACATTTGCTTCACAACCGCAGTTGTCCCCAAGATGCTAGAGAATTTTCTGTCAGAAAAGAAGATCATCTCCTATGCAGGTTGTCTGATGCAGATGTATTTTCTCTATGCCTTGGGAAATAGTGACAGCTGTCTTCTGGCAGTCATGGCCTTCGATCGCTATGTGGCCATCTGTGACCCCTTTCACTATGTCACCACCATGAGCCACCGCCGATGTGTCCTCCTCGTGGCCTTCTCCTGCTCATTTCCTCACCTCCACTCACTCCTGCACATCCTTCTGCTGAATAGTCTCATCTTCTGCAACTCCAATGTCATCCACCATTTTCTCTGTGACCTTGCCCCTCTGATGAAATTGTCCTGCTCCTCCACATTTATTAATGAAATTGTATTAATGATAGAAGGATCTATTGTTTTGGTGACTCCCTTTCTTTGCATTGCTTTCTCTTATATACAAATTCTCATCACAGTTCTCAAGATTCCCTCTGCTTCTGGGAAACGCAAAGCTTTCTCCACCTGTGGTTCTCACCTCACTGTTGTAACACTCTTTTATGGAAGCATCTTCTATGTCTATTTACAGCCCCTGTCCACCTATTCTATCAAGGACCACATGGCAACAATTGTTTACACAGTTCTGTCCTCCATGCTAAATCCTTTTATCTACAGCCTGAGAAACAAAGACCTGAAGCAGGGCCTGAAGAAGCTCATGAGAAGGAGATCCTAGGCAGTATTCTCTTGACAATCCTCAAGTGGATCTGTTCCTTACTGACTCTTGGTGTTAGAGGTTAGCATTTTTGACCCCTATATAACAGGACTAGTTTAGGCACTTACATTTATTGATGATGGCCCACTAATGGGTACTGCATCTGCTTAAACCATGGTATACTTCCTCTTCATTCCTCCTTTCTTAGAAAGATACATACTCTTTCTCCTGTCTCATATTCCAAATACTGCTTTAACTTAATCTTTTCCTGACAAATATTTCCTGAGTGAAATTTTCTCTGTCTATTAAGACTGATTTTCCAACATTCTTCACATTCCAACATACTGCTAGAAAAAAAAGGCAACATTATTTGGAGCTATTAAATTCCTAACAAACATTTGAAGAAGGAAAGAACAAAGAAAGAGATAGATTAGGAGGAAGAAAATTATATTTTAAGTAATATTCTCATTGGGAGAATTTTTAATTTTTTACATATTTTATAATTTATTATATTTAATTGTAGATTTTGTGGGGTGCAGATATGAGTGTTCACGCCATGCTTTTTCTTTTCTTTTCTTTTCTTTTTCTGTGGGGAAGATGTTGTTGCTATAGGGCGTGTGTACTCGCCAGACTGACAGAGACACACAGAGAGACAGAAAGCAAGAAATCACTTCCCAGGGGATATGGCCATGCCACAATCCCTTCTCCATTCTCCTATCGGGATCTTGGGCATGCACGCACATGCACCCGGCATCAGTTTAACTCACCGGGTCCGGGTCTCGAACCACGGTTGACTACATGGGAGTTCAGTGACATAACCATTACACTAACTGCTGGTCCCAAGCTGGTGTAGCAATTTATGAGAGTAAATTGTTGTCAGCCTCTATTATTTTGATAGTGACTACAGCTCTTCAGAAGTAACCACCCGCCCCAGGCCCGCTCTTATCTTACCCCAGGATATCTGAAAGAAGAGGCCTGTAAGGTGAGGAGAATTGGGGTTGGGGGAGAAGGGAGTGGCCAGGGGAGGGAAAGCCATTCTGGCTGGAGGTCTTCATAACTCCATCAACATGATACTACCTTAATTAGAATCAGCTGGTGAAAAAGAAATCTCAAGAGAAATTTTTAAATATATATTAATTTTAAAACTTTGAACAATCTTTTAAATTATATTTTAATTCTTTTAAAATTTTACATTTAATGGGACCAGCAGTTAGCATAATGGCTATATTGCTGGACTCCCTCGTATTTGACTGCAGTTCGAGTCCTGGACCCAGTGGCTTAAACTCACGCTGGGCGTGTGTGCATTCATGTCCAAGATCCTGAGAGGAGAATGGAAAAGAATGGATTGCGGTGTGGCCATCACCCCTGGGGGGTGATTTCTCGCTTTCTGTGTCTCTGTCTCTCTCTGTCTGGCTGGCGAGCGCACGCACCCTGTAGGAAAAACCTCTCCAAAAAAAGAAAAAATAATTTACATTTAATTACTGTACATCTTTACAAAATTGCATTTTCTCAGGATCAATACAGAGCATATTCAAGTCAAAGATATTACTGTATTCATTATCATCAATAGGTATCTTTTCATTTTTGTGTCTGTTAAAGGCTTCTTTTTTTCTTCAGATCTCCTCCCTCACACTCCCCCACTTTCCACCCCTTTCTATACTGTCTCTAGCATCCAGAGTTGTCTTCCCTCAATCTTTCAGTTTCTGCCACAGAGTGCAGGCATTCAGTTAATATTAAGGGGGGATATATAATACCTGTCATAGTCTCACTTGCTTTACTTAACATTAAATCTTTCATATTTGTTTACTTTGTATCAGACATCAGGATCTTATAATTTTTTATGGCTGAGTAGTATTCCATAGTGTATAAGTGACACAATTTTCAATCCATTCATCTGTTCTTGGACATTTGGGTTGATTCCAAGTCTTAGCAATTGTGAATAATGCTACAATAAACGTGGACATGCAAGTGCAAATTTTTGCCTATCCTTTGCATAGATACCTAGGAGTAGAATTACAGTGCCACACGATAGTTCTATTTGTAGGTTTTTGAGGAATCTCTTGTTATCCAAAGTAGTTGTACTAATCTACATTCCCACCAACAGTGTGGGAGGGTTACCATTTCACTGCAGCCCCACCAGTATTATAATTCTTTATTTTTCAATTCTTAGTCATTCTGACTGAAGTTAAGTGGTATCTCATTGTGGTTTTGATTTGTATTTCCCTTATGATAAGAGATGTTGAGCTTTTTTTCATGTGCTTTTTGGCCGTTCTTATGTCTTCCTTGGAGAATTATATATTGAGCTCAATTGCCCATTTTCTAAATGGATTGATTATTATTATTATTTTTTGTATGTAAGCAGCTTGGGGTCCCTGTATATTCTGGTTATCAGTCCCTTATCTAAGGTATAGTTTGCAAATAGATTCTCTACCCTTAGGGTTGTCTCTTCACTGCTTATTGTGTCTTTTGCTATGTAGAAGCTTTGTAGTCTCTTGTAGTCTCACTTATCTATTTTCAATACTTTTGCCTGTGCTTTGAGGATCTTGTTTGTAAAATTTTTGTATACTCTAACAAACTTCTTTTTAAAGTTAACTTATCAAAGTTTGTGGTATTCGAGCAAGCAGGGAGCATGGAGCACTGGATTTCATATGATCGGCTGTACGGTTCAAGTCCCAGACTCAGTGGCTTAACAATCATGCTGGATATATTTGTGTGAATGTCCAAAATCACAACAAAAGTCTGAAAAAGAAAAAAACCACCTTATAGCCATGTCCTTAGCAGGGGGTGATTTCTCTCTTTCTCTCTCACACACACACACGTATAAACACAAAATTGTAGGATTCAGTGAAAGTACTAGAGGCAAATGTCTAACATCGAAGGTATATGTTAGAAAAAAAAATCTAAAATCAATATTCTAATCTTCCACCTTAGGAAACTGAAAAAAAAAAGGAGCAAATTAAATCCAAAGGAAGCAGAAAAAAGTAAATAATAAATATTGTAATAGAATTTAATGACATTGAAGTCAGGGCATCGATAGAGAATAATCCTTGAAAACTAAAGTTAGTTTGTTTAAAAAAGTTAATAAAATCTATAAGCCTGTAACCAAGATAATTTAAAAAAAGAAAAGATTTAAATTATGAATTCCAGAAATGAATAGGGGAACAACACTACAAATACACATACATTAAAAGGATAATAAAGGAATACTCCTGACAATTCTATGTCGACAAATTTGATAACTTAAATGAAATAGACCAGTTCCTTCAAAGCCATGATCTGATAAAACCCACACAAGAAGAAACAGACAACATTACTAGGCATATATCTATTAAAAATTGCCTCAATAATTTTTTAAAAATGTATTTTATTATTATTATTTATACATTCAATCGCCATACACTCAATAATTAATAACCTCTCAAAGCATAAAGTACCAGGCCTAGATGAATTCTCTGGTGATTTTTACCAAACATTGAAGGAATAAATTGTACCATTTCTCTACAATCTCATCCAAAATATAAAAGGAGAGAAAATATTTTCTAACTCATTCTTTGAGGCCAACATCACACTAATATAAAAATCAGGCAAAGATATTACAATAAATAAAAGTTACAGAGCAATATCTGTCATAAACATACATGTACATTTCTTTCTTTCTTTTTTTTGGTGGGGGCGGAGAGGTTTTTGCTATAGGGTGTGTATACTCACCAGAAAGACAGAGAAAGACAGAGAGATAGAAAGCGAGAAATCACCCCCCAGGGAGGATGGCCACACCACAATCCCTTCTCCTCCATAATCTTCTTGGGATCCAGGGCACTCACGCACACATGCCCAGCATGAGTGTAAACCACCGGGTCCGTTTTCTTGACAACATGTTAGCAAATCAAATCCAACAATGTATGTAAAGATGTATGTATTTCAACCAAGTGAAACTTCTCCAAGATATGCAAGGTGGTCCAACATTCCAAAATCAATTACTGTAATCCCTCTGATTAACAGGCTAATGAAGAAAAACCACATGCTTATATAAATAGATGCAGAAAAAGCAGTTGCTCAAATCTAATATGAAACTACAGTAAAAACTCTCAGAAAACTCTAAATAGAGGATAAATTACTCAACTTGATAAAAGAACAACTACAAAAACCCTACAGCTGTCATCACATTTCATGATGAGAAACTAGAAGTTTTCCCCGTAGGATCAGAAATAAGTCAAAGATGTTCCTTCTCACCCCTCTTTTCAACATAATACTGAAAGTCCTAGCTAATACAATAAGATAATAAAAGGAATAAAAATATACAATTTTGGAAGAAAGAAATATAACTGTTTTTGCAGATGACTACATCTATTTGTCTATGTAGAAAATTAAGAAGAACTAGGAACCAGCAGTTAGTGTAATGGCTATGTCGCTGGACTCCCACGTAGTCGACTGCAGTTTGCGTCCCGGACCCGGTGGCTTAAAACTCACGCCGGGCACATGTGCGTGCATGCCCCAGATCCCGAGAGGAGAATGGAGGAGAAGGGATTGTGGCGTGACCATCCCCCCTGGGGGGTGATTTCTTGCTTTCTGTCTCTATGTCTTTCTCTCTGTCTGGCAAGCGCACGCACCCTATAGTGAAAACCTCTCCAAAAAAAAAAAAAGAAAATTAAGAACAACTGACAAAAGAATTCCTGGAACTATAACGATGTTGTAGTATACAAGATCAATATATAAAAATTAATTGCTTTCTAATATGTTGACAATTAACAAGTGGTATTTGACATGAAAAACACAATCCGATTTACACAAGTAATCACCCCAATAAGAAATAAAATACTTAGTATAAATCTAACAAAATATATATAAATTTACATAAGAATAACTATAAAATGCTGATTAAAGGTTTAAAGAGAAACCAAATAAATGGATAATTATTCCATGTTCATGGATAAAAAGAGTCAATATTGTCAAGTTGACAGTTCTTCCCAGTTTGATGTATAGATCCAACATAATAACAATAAAAGTTTCATCAAGTAATTTTG